ACTATTTCATGACAATGCCACTTCTCACACCTTTCGACTTGAAAAGCCTTTACTGTGACGATGTGGATTCGAGGAGTTCACTCTACCTCAATACTCGCCAGACCTGGCACCAAGTGATTTTCACCTGTTTCCTAAACTGAAAGAACACCTTCGTGGAAAGCGCTACGGCGACAACGATGGCCTCAAAGCTTGGGTTTTTCAGAGAGGCTTCAGAAAATTACTGCCTGACTGGAATTGAAAAGTTTCGCTATCGATATGGGAAGTGTATTTCAAAGCAGGGAGATTATGTTGAAAAATATCATTAGAAACACTTTCACAATTGTTGGTTTTGTTTGTTAGGCTTAAGACTTTTTGACCAGCCTTCGTATCTGCTAGTCTGTGCAGAGACCCTAGAGGGGACACAGATCGTCTAAGGAGCCCGAAATCGCTGAGCAGAGTTGCGCCAGAAATCTATGATCGTGGGTTCCAATTCCGGTTCCCCGCGATTACGTTTCTAGGTTGTCATAGTGGGTTTCGCCAAAGTGGTAAACGTCTGAGACCTGCTTTCCTCTCACATTAAACTGACACGCCGTGGTATAAATACTGTTCAATGCATCGTTGAACAAAACACACTCGCTCACTTACTCCCAGACCCTTGAGAATATTTTTTTTTAAATAATCCAGCTCAAGCCGAGAATGATTTGGCGAGTCTAGATTTCCTCAACTCTGGGCTTGAAACTTTAAGCATTGCTCTATTTGGATTTATATGTTTATTTTGTAGATATATATTTGTAAATACGATAGCTTTATTCCTGGGACCAAATGTTAATCTAAGTATCTGCATGTAGATCTGTCTAACTACACAGGATGGATCTACAGCAACCTATCGTTGTGGTAAGAGGCGACTAACGCAGGATCGGGTGGTCAGGCTTGCTGACTTGTTGCTGCATGTCATAGTTTTTTAATTGTGTAGATCGATGCTCGTGATGCCAAGCACTGGATTGTCTGGTTGACTTCATTATTAACAGGGGCGGCCTTGCGGTTGAATAATATTGCTGAGTGTGGCGTGAAACAACAAACAAACAAACCAACGACGGGCGTGCACTACGAGTCTTGTTAGTGATACATATTGGGTACATGGACAATACATGTAAACATATGTTTATACAGCCATTACTATTGAAAAAGATACCTGTGGTCTTGAATACTCCACATGGCAGCTGTGTCTGTATTGACGCGTCTGTACAATGTAAGTCAATGTAAGTCAAGCGCAAGGATTATCAAACGGTCATACAAATGAATGTATATTCGATCTTCTTCAAACATACTGCTTAAAAATTACGGATATAGCAATTTATTCATTACCTATTCACGGATGTTCATATATACCACGGACTGGTAATATAGATCCGTGTATATACTTTAAGTAAATACAAACTATTTTAAACAAGAATTTATATATGTCTTTAGGTCAAATATTAATCAATGGTCACTCTGGTCCCGACACGTATCGGGGCATAGTTTGCAGATGAAGAAGATTGTTGTTATTGATAACTGGGTTTAGTTCGACGAAGGTCTAGGTCAGTTGATAACACACCAAGTTGAAGGTCGATGATGAGATAAAGGGTCATGTATCAAACAGCCTGTTTACTTCCCGAGTTCTGAATCTGACGGACAAATTAAGATATAAGGTGAACTCAAAACCGTCCGACATTTTAGGTGTCCAGAGTGAGTGAGTGAGTGCGGTTTTACGCCGCTTTTAGCAATATTCCAGCAATATCGCGACAGGGGACACCAGAAATGGGCTTCACACATTGTACCCGCGTGGGAAGTGGAACTCGAGTCTTCGGCGTGACGAGGGAACGCTTTAACCACTAGGCTACCCCGGCGCCACAAGGTGTTCAGAGAGGGAGTATATTTCTCAGGCCCATTTTACATGCATACACCAGATATTACAAGATACAATACACTTTGGGGCGTTAATGGGGTTCTTAGTATGTTTACACAGAGTAATGGTATAGAGAATCAAAAGTGGACAGAAAGATTTCTTGAAATTCGAAATCTATAGGAGTATAAAATAGATCATTTGCTAGAAAAAATGTTTAACACTTTGTTAATTTGGCAATCTCGGTAAAATCATACCTTAGTTCTTGCTACCGCCAAACAAAGATCTGAGGACATCCCATTGAGGGGTCATGTCAGAACGACCTTTCATCTGACCAATCAGAGCATCGCTTATCAGATCATGAAAGTGACAGTTGGAATGTGATGCTGGATCGTGCAACCTCGAAAGATACACACAGGGTATTCCACACGACAATTATGGGTTTTATGGGTGTGTTCATACAATCTAGACCGTCTATTAGCCATTCCATAATGTTCTTTTTAATCAAGTATATGTCCAAATAATTAATGTTTCGAAGCGTAGTTGCCAGTTTGAAACTCGTGCCGTAAAGCTCGATTAAGCTGCCTTCTGATTGGCTGTTGTCGACGTCTTGTTAGTCATCCCATTAGTCGGTCAAAGTTCGCGAAAGGTCGGTCTAACGTGACCCGTAATGAGATGTCCTCAGATCTTTGTTTAGATCTGATTTTAATGAGATTGTATTTTTAGGTGTTTACTTCCAGAGACAGGAAGAAAGATGCAGATAGAGAAAATGAATTGTGGAAAATTTGTATTATTCGAGTTCAAGAAATCGAGTCCGCTTTTTTATTGTTCGTTTTATGGCCATCTAAGAAGACAACTGTTACCGGATTTCTATTATAAGTATTCTTTAAGAAATAAACTAAAAAACGTTGTTCATCCATAAAAATATCCGGCTTTTTAAAGAGAAACATTTCTCAAATCAGATGCTAGTTTTTATTATTCTACACTCATCCATACCATACATACAGTGACATATGAGTTACGGCAGCAATAACAATAACCTTAGGTGCCGTTTGGTTTTCAGTAATTACGTTGACAGGAATTAACTTCATTTTAAGAATGTGAAAGTGTTAACATCACTGAAGGGAGATATATATAATTTCGATCTTTTGGGGGAAGGTCATCTGGGTAGCTGTTCCTATCCAGTTTAACATCCAATGTAAACATTGTCAGCATCGTGTCAGAAACCGCTGGACCAGGCTCAAATTAAACATGCTTGTTCACCGAAGACCAAATTTGTATTCAATTTGTGAAACCTATTCATGACCATTGCTCGGCTGTTATTCATAGTGAGTGAGTGAGTTGGGCTAACGCCGCTTTGAACAGTATTCAAGTTATATGAATGGCGTGTCATCTTAATGTGGGAGGAAAGCCCGAAGTGGTGCAGGTCTCAGACGTTTACCACTTCGGTGAAACCCACAAGCAAGAATATGGTGCAGACAAACCTAGAAACATAATCGGGGCGAATCGGGATTCGACCCCACAATCATATATTTCTGGCGTGCGAAAATGACGCAACACTGAACAGCGAATTGCGGCGCGTTAGACGACCGGGCCAAGCGTGGTCCCCAATGTTGTTCAGATGTAATGAAAGTTGATATATTTTTACTAAGTAGCGGGACTATAGGCCATGTTTTTCACGATACTTTAAATTGAGGCCTTGATTTTACCTCTGCGCTTTGACAATGCTCTGAAATTCCCTCCAAATGTATTATAGGTTCTGTAAACATCGCCTCTCAAGAAAGCACTTGACTATAGGAACATGATTGTTTCTGTCTCGTCGTATCACGGATTTACTCATGTACCAGCCCAGTCACAAGTTCCCCCAACACTCTTCTAGACAGACATCAAGGCATCAAAAATATCGACAAATTCCTTTCCATTATTATAAGACATGTCTGCCGAAAGAAGGGTCCAGTGTCCGATTCCGACTATATAGTGAGCGTATACAGAACCCTCCCCGTCACAAACACATGCAAAGGCAAGTCAATTGTTCACCTGAGTGAGTGAGTTTGGTTTAACGCCGCTTTTAACAGAATTCCAGTTATATCGCGGCGTATCAGCTTAATGGGGGAGGAAAGCCCGAAGTGATGCAGGTCTCAGACGTTTAACACTTCGGTGAAACCCACGAGCACGGGTATGGTGCTGACAAACCTAGATACATAATCGGGGCGAACCGGGATTCGAACCCACAATCATAGATTTCTGGCGTGCCCAAGGGACGCAACTCTGCACAGCGAATCGCGGCGCCTTAGACGACTGGGCCACCCGTGCCCCCTGTTCACCTGAAGAAACATGGAAACATATGGTACACGTCTGAATAGGGACTTACTTCATTTTTGTCACTGATGCGTCAAATTTTGAATTGTCCTCCACATGTCTACCATAAAACCGTTTTGAAAGCTTTACTGAGGCCTTGAATGTTGTAACCCTGATCAAACAACTTCTGAGCCAGAGTTTCCACAAAACATAGCAGCTTGTCACACAAAGCGAGACTTGAATATACCAGCACGTCCTTGATGAACCTCATCGCTACCTGGTAAAACAAAGAATCCGCTTCAAAGTGTTTTGTTTTACCCACCAGTGCCGCTGAAATACGACACCATAATACATGTGCAAACTACTCGAGGCCCACGTTCCAACCAGAGCATTGACAACTGAATATTGACCTGCTTTGCAAGTTTGTTTGAAAGTCTCATCAAGCAGAAAAGAGACGTAAGAGGTGACTAACGGGGGCGGGCTCGCTGACTTTCATGTCATCATATCCCAATTGTGTACATCGATGCTCATGATGTCAATCTCTGGATTGTATGATCCAGACTCGATTATATACAGACCACCGTCATATATGGTTGATGCATGTCACCATATCCCAATGCTCATGGTGTCAATAACTGGATTGTCTGGAACATAGTCGATTATTGACAGACCGCCGTCATATCGCTGAAATATTGTTGAGTGTGGCGTTAAACAACAAACAAACAAACAAAAAAGAGAGACACATTTTACCATGTGTGTAGGAGTTTTCACGCCATTGACGATGCACTAAAATTGTGTAGTTAAATATACCCCAGACCTATTTCCACACGACAGATCATGCGTATTTATCGTTTATTGCAAGGAAAATATAAATATCTGCAAAATCCAGCAAGATCCCCTATGTAGACGGCAGACAGACACAGGAGCTGTTTTGGTGTGTCGTCGCACCCGTAGACACGAGCGTGAACCCGTCTAGATTAGACTTGGGGTCGCACGCATACTTCTCCTGGCCAATCATAAGGGTAGAACCAGCTTTGTAACAACGCCCATTGATGAGACACGCGTCAGCCTGTGAACAGAAGGATTCTTTCAAGATGACATTGGTGAGTGTAGAATGTAACGTGTTCTTATAATTTTAACAATAACAGACACCAAAACAGATTACAAGAATATGGTTTACGTGTCTAAATCCGTTTAGTGTTCGGAGATGAATCCACTCAATCCAGAATGATTTAAAGTTTCAGGTAGGGGGCAATTTCTCAATTTCTCAGAGCACCTCTTCACCGTTATTTGCTTATAACCATCACCTGTAATTCCCACCCGCCATACGAGTAGAGGTGAGTGAGTGTAGGCGAGCATGGTTTAACGCTACTTTGAACAGTATTCCAGTCATGTCATGGCGTGTAAGCTTGATGGGGTTGCCATGGAGGTAGCCTAATGATTAAAGGGTTCGCTCTTCACACCGAAGACCGGGGTTCGATTCCCCACATGGGTACGCTATGCGAAGCGCATTTCTGGTTTCTCCGCCGTGATATTACTGGAATATTTCTAAAAGTGGCGTAAAACCATACTCACTCACTCACTCACTCAGCGAAGTGATGCGGGTCTCGGATGGGTACCAGTTCGTGTGGTAGGACTAACCGAGGGGCGGGGATATGATACTGACAAACCGAGTGGGGTGTGTCGTGTTATGTGGTGTGTGTGTGGTGTGTATGTGGTGAGTGTCTGGTGTGTGGTGTGTGTACTTTGTGTCTGTAGTGTATGTGGTGTGTATATGGTGTGCATGTGTTGTGTATGGTTGTGTGTTTCTGGTGTGTGGTGTGTGTACAGTGTGTCTGGTGTGTGTTGTGTCTGGTGTGTGTGGTGTGTATATGGTGTGTTTGCGGTGTGTGTGTGGTGTGTGCATGGTGTGTGTACGGTGTGCGTGTGGTGTGTGTATGGTGTGAGTGTGGTGTGTGTATGGTGTGAGTGTGGTGTGTACGGTGTGAGTGTGGTGTGTGTACGGTGTGAGTGTGGTGTGTGTATGGTGTAAGTGTGGTGTGTGTAGTGTGTATGTGGTGTGTGTCTGTGTGGTGTTATGTGGCGTGTGTGTATGATGTGTATGTGTTGTGTATGGTGTATATCTGGTGTGTATGTAGTGTATGTGGTGTGTATTTGGTGTGTATGTATTGTGTATGGTGTGTGTGTATGTGATGTGGGTGGTGTGTGTGTGGTGAGTGTATGGTGTGTGTGGATGGTGTGTGTATGTAGTGCGTATGTAGTGCGTATGGTGTGTCTGTGTGTATGTTATGTGTGTATGTGATGTGTGTATGGTGTGTAAGTGCTGAGTGTATGGTGTGAGTGTATGATGTGCTTGTGATGCATGTATGGTGTGTGTTTATGGTGTGTATGTAGTGTGTGCATGGTGTGTATGTAGTGTGTGCGTGGTGTGAGGTGTGTATGTGGTGTGTACGGTGTGAGTGTGGTGTGAGTATAGTGTGAGTGTAGTGTGTACGGTGTGAGTGTGGTGTGTCTATGGTATGAGTGGTGTGTGTACGGTGTGAGTGTGGTGTGTACGGTGTGAGTGGTGTGTGTACGGTGTGAGTGTGGTGTGTCTACGGTGTGAGTGTGGTGTGTCTATGGTGTGTGTACGGTGTGAGTGTGGTGTGTGTATGGTGTAAGTGTGGTGTGTGTATGGTGTAAGAGTGGTGTGTCTATGGTGAGAGTGGTGTGTGTACGGTGTGAGTGTGGTGTGTGTACGGTGTGAGTGGTGTGTGTACGGTGTGAGTGTGGTGTGTGTATGGTGTGAATGGTGTGTGTACAGTGTGAGTGTGGTGTGTGTACGGTGTGAGTGTGATGTGTGTACAGTGTGAGTGGTGTGTGTACGGTGTGAGTGTGGTGTGTGTAGTGTGTATGGTGTGGGTTTGTAGTGTGTATGGTGTGAGTGTGGTGTGTGTATGGTGTAAGTGTGGTGTGTGTATGGTGTGAGTGTGGTGTGTGTACGGTGTGAGTGGTGTATGCATGGTGTGAGTGGTGTGTGTACGGTGTGAGTGTGGTGTGTGTATGGTGTATGGTGTGAGTGTGGTGTGTGTATGGTGTAAGTGTGGTGTGTGTACGGTGTGAGTGTGGTGTGTGTATGGTGTAAGTGTGTATGGTGTGAGTGTGGTGTGTGCATGGTGTGAGTGGTGTGAGTGTGGTGTGAGTGGTGTGTGTTGGTGTGAGTGTGGTGTGTCTGTGGTGTTATGAGAATGTTGATGCCGCATTCCGCGGGATAGTGTAGAGTGAGATAGCCCTACCCTCCGGTAGCAGGTGAAGTGCTCGTCACACATCTGACACACACCGTTGTAGACGACGTAGGTGATGGAATTTCCGCTGACTTTAGACTGAGGCTGCAGAGTGATCGTGTAGGATTGGGCGAGGAAGTCTACAACGTACATCACGACATTAATTTACGCAATTTATGATCTATGATTGTCATTAAGTTGAAATCAAATCTGACAGCTTTTATTTATTCTATTGTCTTGACGTAATATGATATGTTTTCACTACATACATGTAGATGGGATGGATGTACAAAGACAACAACACACAAAAAAAATATAATGACAAAGCCCATGGCATACGATTAATGTACAACGATAACAAAAATTATAATGACGACGCCAATGAGATAAATAGGAGAGGGTTAATTCAGTACACTGAAGGTGAAGTGATGACAAGGATCTGACACAAGCAATAATGCAATCAAGATTTCCGTTCTGGCTGATAATGTGATTATAGCACAGTGGAGTACACACTGGGTAGGGAGATACATTGTGACCTTAAATCGTTTGATAGGCATTACTAGATAGACACAATTTTATGGATAACAACTTCTTTAATACTGTGAAAAGCGACGTTTCGGTATAGATCCTTATACCGTTGTCAAGCAAGACTGAATGAGGGACCGAGTACAGAATATATAAAGTAGGTGGAGGATTAACAGTAGAGGATTAACAGTAGAGGATTAACAGTAACAACAATTGCATACATGAGTGGGATAACATTGGTAGGTGTTGACAACAAAGGGATAATGCTGTCACAACACGCTGGACAGAGAACACATAGGTGGAAGCCGATAGGGACATGAAGCCATTAAACAGGATACGTGATTATTGCTTGATGAGTTCATAGTAGGCGGATGGGATGAAATAGCCTTGTTCTCTGTTGATTGATGGGTTGTGCCGGCGAATGTGGACTGCTTCTGTTAGTTTTCTTTTAGTGTAACCATTAAACGAGTTGCATATGTTCATGTTCTCCCAACTTCCAAATGTCTATCAAAGACTAAATGGGACAGGTTTGTATAACGCCGAGAGAGTTGGATAGACCGCCGCTTGGAACAGTATTTCATGAATACACGATGACATTTAGAAGGGGTCAAATGTAACAAATGTTATGTTTGGGATAACACTTTTTTAGTAAAGTACAGATTCTCGTACTTTTTGGGGTTGCCTCCCATCCAGGATTCGAAATCACATCGCCAGAGTGAGGCACCTAATCGCCAGCACACAAAGTCAGCGATCTAACCCACTCAGCCACTGAGGCCTTCACAAAAAATGAAAGTCCGACAACTGGTAGTCTGGATCGCGTACTTTGTGTAGCCCTGTGACAAGTGTAAATTGGCACGGCTCAAATGGCCGAAAGCTATGAACACACAATGCCATGTAGAAAGTGGTCAATTGTAACAGATGGGAGTGTGGGTTATAAACCCCCGAAAGTACGAGCATCTGTACTTTACTAAGAAAGTGTTATCACAAATATAACATTTGTTACGCAGTATTTCAGTTATATCATGGCGTGTCGGCTTAATATTAAGCCACGCATATGGTCCTCACATCGCAAGAATCATAATCAGTACGAACCCATGATCTTTGGACTACATGGGACGGCGAATTTCGTCGCCTAAGGCGATTGGACCACCACTACCCAGCCGAAGTGGGCCAACCAGTTAACAAATTGAAACATGGTCAATATTGAAAATGCTGTACGACTTTCTCTTTATATGTGAGACAATGTTGTCTTACGCCCCAGGCAGCACTATGATCGTTATAACGAGGGGGCGTACCCACAATCGAAGCAGTAGTTGAAACCATGCTCAACGGTACGGGTACGATGGCACACCAGCAGCCAGATCAACCATTGTAACCACCCGATCCTCACTGTAGTCGACTCGAGACTTTTCATCTATAGGCGTGTTAGGTCTTTGAAAGGCATTTAGAAGTGATACACATATTCACCTGATGAAGGAGTAAGCATATACTCCGAAACGGTGTGTTCCTCATAATAAAGAGGGGGCACGGTTGGCCCAGTCGTCTAAGGCGCCCGATTCGCTGTGCAGAGTTGCGTCCCTTGGGCACGCCAGAAACCTATGATTGTGCGTTCGAATCCCGGTTCTCCCCAATTATGTTTCTAGGTTTGTCAGCACCATACCCGTGCTCGTGGGTTTCACCGAAGTGGTAAACGTCCGAGACCTGCATCACTTCGGGCTTCCTCCCACATTAAGCTGTCACGCAGTGATATAACTGGAATACTGTTAAAAGCGGCGTCACATCCAACTCACTCACTCACTCATAATAAAGAAGTTGACATCCAGATATTCTCTCCCTTATAGGCGTATTATTTTCAATACATTTTTCTTACAATTAATACAATTCCTGCGCCGGATGCCTGTGACATAATGATGTGATATCTATGTACAAGATGATCCGCATCATCGCCACTCAACCACACACTCAGGGGGATTCCTCGCCAATTTCAAACTATATACATCCATTGCTGTGTTTCTTACCTTTACAGTTATGGGTATGCAACTTCGCACTGATTGATTCTAATTGGTTCTGACAGAAAGAATAGTTTGTTTCTTTCTTTATTTGTTGTTTAACGCAGCAATATTCCAGCTTTATGACGGCGGTCTGTAAATAATCGAGTCTGGACCAGACAATCCAGTTACTGACATCACGGTCATCGATCCACGCAATTGGAATACGATGACATACATCAACCAAGTCAGCGAGCATGTCGTGACCTCCTTATTCCGTTAGTCGCCTCTGACCACAAACATAGTCGCCCTTTACGGCAAGAATGGGTTGCTGAAGACCTATTCTTCCCCGCATCTTCACGGATCTACTGAATAAGATGGATTTAACGCCAATATGAACATAATTCCAGTTATGCTACAACGTGTCAGAAATATGGTTGGAAAGCCGGAGGTGTGACTCTTCCAAACGTGTATCGCTTTGCGAAACCAGGAGTTGATGCGCCAAACGGAGGCTCATGATCAGGGCGAATATTGGATTCGAATCCACGTTCATCGGATCCTGGAAGAACTAAGGAGGAATTATGAAGACTACAATATCACTGGCGCTACGTACCAGTCAGTTGCGGTGTGGATTTAATGTCACACGACAGGCTGAAGGCGTTTTCCCGACTGTAACTGACTGTGTACGGTGCCTGGGGCAGACTCGGCCGGCCTTGTTCATACTGAAACATGCATTACAGGCTTATTGGTTTTATGTTTGTTGTTTCATGCCGCTATATGACGGCGGTGTGTACATAATCGAGTCTGGACAAGACAATCCAGTGATTGATATCATTAGCTTCGATTCACGCAATTGGGATACGATGACATGCATTAACCAAGTCAGCGTTCCTGACCACCCGATCCTGTTGGCCGCCTCTTACGACGAGCATAGGTTCCTGAAGACCGATACTCACCCGGATCTCCACGAATCTTATAGTTTTTATTGTTTGGTTGACGCCTGCTCCGACCTTACAAATAAGAAATAATGGACACAAATAGAGTTCCAGTTTTGAGCATTTATTACTTGCGCCTGATAATCACAAGTTATTTCTCTGAGTGACGGAGAAGAGTTGAAAATGCTCAACGATCCGTAACTGACTGATAGCTCAAATACAGTTTGATTGTTTTAAAATGAGAGAGGGCGCGCTTAAAAATTGAAATCTTGGAATAGAAATGAAATTATTTCGGAAACGAACTGCGTTTGTTCAGCAAAAGAAATAACTCATTAATTGTTTGTTTGTTTTTAAAATTCATAGTCGGCTTGTGGTGGTTGCTTTTAATTATTACAACAGTGCAAAGGCGTCTTTATACTTTTTATATTGCCTTTACTGATATACTTTGAAGATAGAGAAAGAGCGAGTTAATGTGATTTTACGGCGCTTTAAGCAGTATCCCAGCATTCTCACGACCGGGAACTGCACAGATGGGCTTCACACATTGTATTCATACGAGGGAAATCCAACGCCGGCCTTCGGCGTGACAAGCAAAAGCTTCAACCACAAGGTTATTTAACCGCCCTTTATGAAGAGACCACAACGAAAAACTGATACTTGCTACTTACAGACGCAGGTGTCACGGTACAGGAGGTCATGTAACCAAGGTTACCAACAGTCAGGAGGGGGCTGAAACAGTCGCTGGACACCGACATGTCACACAGAACACCGCTGGAAGGAATACGATGATGATGTTGATGATAATGATGATGATGATCAGCATCATCATATGTTGTTTAACGCCGCACGCAGCAATAGTCTAGCCATATGACGGCGGCGGGTAAAAACATCGAGTCTGGACCAGACAATACAGTGATTGACATGAGCATCGATTCACGCCATTGGGATAACATGACATGCATGAACCAAGTCAGCGAGCCTGACCACCCGATCCCGTTAGTCTCCTTTTACAACAAGTACACACACCTGACGACTCATGTTCCTACCCGGCCACCCCACAGGCCCTGGACGGGAGGAACCCAGTAGTGTATAAACGGACTAGGGTTTCAGGTCTTTTTCTATCATATTTAGCCATTATTAAGATGGGAGGGCACGGCTGGACCAGTCATCCTGGGCGCAGAAATTCGCTTTACACAGGACCCGTGGAGGTCAGGGTTAGAATAGGTCTTCAGTAACCCATGCTTGTCTTAGGAGGCGGCTAATAGAATTGGGTGTCATCGTATCCCAGTAGCGTGGATCGATGCTGATGATATCAATCACTGGATTATCAGATTCGATTAATTTCAGACCGCCGTCATATAGATGGAATATTTTTTAGTGCGGCGTTGGACAACAAACAAACAAACAAACAAACAAACGCTGTACACAGTTGCCACACGCCTTGATTTAATTGATATACTGTTGATATCAGGCACTCCCCACGGAGAACACCGACATGGCGTTCGATTATTGTTCCCATATTGAGAATATCACAAGAATGTATTCACAGAGAGCGAGTAGAATAATAGAATAATAAAGACATTTGCCATTTTTCACACAGCCAGTGAGTATGTTTTGGAGTAGCTTTTGGCAGTATTCCAGCGATTAAATGATGACATTCGCACTTGTACCCACTGGGGAATCGAGCCCGACGTTTAAACCGTTAGGCTAATCCGACCCACTAAGTGATCACGGAGTGGGTGAGTGTCGCGCCCCTTTGAACAATATGTCCGTTACTGACGTGGTTTCAGTTGGAGGATTGTCGGTGGGATGCAAGTCATTCAAGTTTATAATTAAGGTGGAACTAACGAGAATGGAAATGCTAAACAAATAAAGTATCATAATTGGTAAGAATTTAAAACTTTAAACCGGATTCTGCTGATCCTGGCACGCCTAAGAAAGACAACACTGCACAACGGGTAACAGCGACTAAGGTCACTACGCTACCATGTATGGTAAGAATATTTGGTTGCTTTAGCATATTTAACCACACTACGACAGTCCGTAAAGTGTACTGATAATACCGCCTTAACTTAAGTATTGTTCGTAGAGGATCCAGAATGACATAACACCAAAACATACCAAGGACGTTCTACTCACCCCGTTATACCGGAGACAGTGAAAGGTTCCCCCGTTCTAACCGAACAGTCGGTCCATTCCCATCCTGCCTCGCACTGACAGACACTTTTCACGCATGCGCCGCGCATACTACACAAGTTGGGGCACTGTGAAAGGACTTCCGGTACCCGCAGCTCTCCGGTCGGGGTCGTGTTGTAGCTGTGTATGTCGCTGAGGATGTCGGTCTCACATTGAGACTGGAACGCCTGAACCGCAGACGACACGTACCCGAGCCCAGCGGAAGCCTGGAAACGATGTGGTTCTCTGGATCAGGTTTATTCAACTTTCAAACACAGTTCAACTCATGAGACAATTGATATACCCCATTCCGACACAGTATACTGACTCAGAGCCGACCAATTCTTGTTTCATCACCTGCAGGCACGGTAACAGGAAGTATAATCTTTTGAAGTCTTCATGATCAGGGGATCAAACACCGACGTTCCGCTTTCCGAGTAGACGCTCTAGCACAAGACCACGGAGGTTTTTTTGTGTCTGCGTTGTTTAACGACGTAATAAGCGCCCCGCTCTAATAAGCGCCCACAGCGATATTTGCTAATATATTGGCTAGTGAACAATCCCAATTAGCACCCCTTCTGATTGATCAATGTACACAACACTTATTTATTCGCATATAATACGCACTCGTTTGTTATATGCACCCTTAATTATGGGCAATTAAATTCCGAAAAAATGACTCTCTCGTATATAAACATTTCAGGCTGTCAGTATAAACCACGAAATTTATCTTTCGACTGTTTTTTTTCACCAAAATAGTATTCTAATAGAATCCCCCTATTTCTAATTTTGAGAGCGCCCTGGGCGCTTATTACGTCGAATACGGTATATGACGATGGTCTGTATATAATCGAGTCTGGATCAGACAATCTAGAGATTGACATCATGAGCATCGATCTACACAATTTGGATACGATGACATGAAGGTCAGCGAGTATGACCCCCCGCCCCCGTTAGTCACCTCTTACGTCCACGCCTCTGGGGTTCACGTCTCTGAGGTACGACGGCACAAACCAGCCAGGTCGTCACAGAAGCAAGGCCCACTGGGACGCATTGTAACCCTGTTCCCCACTGGCTGTAAGTAGCAGTACCGCCATACCTGCACGTCGTCCACACAGTTGCCGATGAAGTCGTTGATGTTGATTTCTGTGCGGGAGCCGCACTGTGATGAGGTGAAGTTGAGGATGGCCTCACGGCACGTTGCCCTGGCCATGACCTCTGTGATTCCATTCATGGTGGGCCAGGGATGAGGCAAAGGCTGGTATTCTGTAACAGAGGTAGAGCAGCACGACTCTGTATAGCACGAGCAAAGATTTCTGCAACATAAGTTGGAGCGTCATGATATCTTTATGAGTACCTTGTAGCACACAGGGGAAAATATGTTTCCATCCCTGCAGGACTGTGAATGTGAGATATTTCTTCTTAAATCAGATGTTTTCAATCAATCCGATATCTCTCTGCTCTAGGTCTCAGGCCACTTCCATAGAAGATCGGGTCAGTGTAGGAATTAGTTGCCAAAGTTCACTGGCAAAGGCTTGTTGCCTTGTTGCCCCAAAAATGTTCCAAGTTCTCATTATAGTTTAATAGTTTCATTTGCCAAAACCCTTGCGATAAACTACGAAATGAAAACAAAATGCCAACAAGCTTTGACATTCATGACACCTTAGCTGACTTGATGATTCGTACAACTAAATATTATAAATATAGCATTGACTACAGTTTTCAACTAGACAATCTTGACAGCTTTCCAATTTAAAAGTCACTTGCATTTAACTTCCAGACTAGCAGCCATTTTGGACACTTGGTCGGGTCAGCAACCCTGAGCGATCAGGGGGCATGGGTGGCCCAGTCATCTAAGGCGCCGCGATTCGCTGTGCAGAGTTGCGTCCCATGGACACACCAGAAACTTATGATTGTGGGTTCGAATCCCGAATCCCGGTTCGCCCCAATTATGTATCTAGGTTTGTCAGCACCATATCCGTGCTCGTGGATTTCACCAAAGTGGTAAACGTCTGAGACCTGCATCACTTCGGGCTTTCCTCCCACATTAAGCTGACACTCCACGATATAACTGGAATAATGTTAAAAGTGGCGTTAAACCCAACTCACTCACTCTGAGCGATCATTTGTGTTCTGTTGCGGTTTTGTTCTGCTTAGATGGAAGCGGTAAAGAAAGCTTCGTTTTCGAAAGCTGACTTCTGAAAGCTCAAGAAGCCACGCATCCTTCATGAGAGTGGGCTGTCACAGGTCGCTCAGGGTTCCACTCATGCCACCTCCCACAGAGCTGTCCTCAGACCTTCACGCAGTGTAGAAGTGCAAGATCTATTTTTAATGATATTGCAGTGACTCGTTTTTTTTAATAGTTGACGTTTAGAAAGAACCCGTGAAAATATACGCTAAAATATAACTGTCATGTAAGCCTCGCTTTAGGATTAAGCAGCGCTTGGTGTGAGCGCTCGCTGACTACCTCCGATATAGTGAAACCTCGTCAGTCCGAATCCTAGACGGCAATGGACAGATGAGGACAAAGGCAGAATCTGCTGAGTGTTTCGTGTTACCGGATTCCAGAATGCTTTTTCACTTTTTTACTTCATTACCAATTACCTTTAAAAATGGTTTCAGCTGGAGGATTCTTTGCCGGAGGAGCCATTATTATCTTTGGCTGGAACTCCTTGCACGTTGGTCTCTGAAACAATACCGCCGACGGTCACGTCTACTGCTATGTACGTGGCACTTGGGTGATACCGGTGTATCCCCATTCCCTACATCTGGCTACACTATCGAGTCTAATTTATCAGTTAGAATGCAAGTTACAAACTAGCCCCAAAGAGGCGACTAACGGGATCCGGTGGTCAGGCTCGCTGTCTTGGTTGATGTATGCCATCGTATTCCGATTGCACATATCGATGATGTCAATCACTGCATTGTCTGGCTCCTACTCAATTATTTACAAACCGCCGTCATATAACTGGACTATATATATATGAATCGCTCACACTGAAAACTTCATGAAACATGCCTGTATGCAGCTAAACAAATTGATTAAATCACACAGCGGAACCAATCCTTTTCATACGGAAATATATGACGACTTACATTAATGAAAGGGTCGCTGACTTTTAAGCCTCGTTTACACGTGACCTCCATCACGTGACCCGGCTTACGGGGTGGACAAGAGCAGTAGACTTTGGGCGGAACCTTCGTCGTGTGTACATCCTTGCCATGGAACAAGTTGCTCCTGGGGTTCACCCTAGAACATATTCAGAATATGGGATTTACATGCTCTTGGTGATCAACATACGTGATGTATTAGTGAGTGAGTTTGGTCTAACGCCGCTTTGAACAGTTCTTCAGTTATATCACGGCGTGTCAGCTTAATGTGGGAGGAAAGCCCGAAGTGATGCAGGTCTCAGACGTTTACCACTTTGGTGAAACCACCGAACACGGGTATGGTGCTGACAAACATGGTAACATAATCCGGGAGAATCAGGGATTCGAACCTATGATCACAGGCTTCTGTTAAGTGTAAGGGACGCAACTCTGCACAGCTAATAGTGGCGTCCTAGATGGCTGGGCCACCTATGCTCACTGGCAATCCCTGTTTTGTCTGGTCCAGCTTCGAATACACTCCGTAATCGGTGTTTATGCAGTCGAAAAAAATACCCATTCACCTAAATAGATCAATAACCTGGCCGCTAATTTCTCCTCTGCTCCCTAGAGTCTTCAGGCGGTTGGTAGTCGTGTCTATGTAACATGTTTCATGGTAGAGGTCGGTGCCGTTGACGATGTCAGTGAGGGAGACAATGCCGGAGGGGAAGGTGAGCTTCACGTCCAGATAGTGGCCGTAGCTCTGGTGATGGATGTTGATCCTATGTCCCATGGAGGTGTAGATCTACAATTGTGTTGGTGGAACACAATTACGGCCATGACTGAATCGTTGATTTACGAGTGAGTATGGTTCTACGCCGCTTTTAGCAATATGACGTCGGGTTTCACATATTGTACCCATGTGGGGACTCGAACCCAGACTTTCGACGTGACGGGCGAACGCTTTGACCTCTAGGCTACCCTACCGCCCCACGCCACTAGGGACAGTATGTCGGATACAGTAAAACAAGAGACAGCAGGGTAGGCCTGTGGTTAAAGCATTCGCTCGTCAGAGTGACGATAGAAGTTCGTTTCCGAAACTATTTTTCATTCTAAGTGTTTTCTGCAATATCGCATACGCATTGATCACTCACCCTCAGCTAATATATTTTCCCAATTACATGTCAGAAGTGTATATCTGTCTTAGCAGAGAGGAACACGAGCGATAGTTCTCGCGATCATCCAACGGAAATTGGATTATGAGCTGTGGGCAATGTGAAGACATAATTCCCCTGACTGCCGAGGATGGGGTATAGGATGGCGAGTACCTGGTACTCATTGGTCCCACAAAGCTGGACTGTGTATGACGTTGGGCGCGTGTTGGCCACGACGGTGGGATTACTGCTGCCGCCGCTGGTGTCGATGATGACGGTTTCAGGGCCTATCTGCACGGCCAGGGCTGTGATGACGGGGAGGTGAGACGGGTGCCAGACGTTTGTCTCAATCTGAACCTATAACAACAACTTGTCCATATTTTCGGAGATTGAACATTAACTTGCTCACACACAAACTGTTCAGGATTGAGTCAGTGTAACAATATATTAATTCAGTCACGGCGTGTCAGACATCGGGAGAAAGACCCAAGTATTTCTCGAGACAGGACATGTTTTTGGTCTCTGCTTGCAAACACGCAACTTTTTTTCTCTGAAAGGAGGTGCTGAAAAAATAATTCACAACAATTTTTTTCAGACCATCCAGCGTGTTCATCGAACAAGTCCAAAGGGGAAAGGGGACGGGGAACTGAGGGCTGAGGACAAAATAATCTATCTATTTAAGATAACTTTTCAAAAACGTCCCATGGTTTAAAGTTAAAATGCTTGGAATGTTTACCGCTATCGGTGCTCTGCGGTCGCCGGCCAAGTTGAAATGCCCAAGATGGTAAAGGTTGTACTTCCTAAAACACATTATAGTTTCCATTGATACTACTCAAAAGAAGTTAAGAACCACTGATCCTTTTATATTGTTATATGGCATGACAGACCAATTACAGTAGTATGGTAGAAGGGGGTGCTCCTTAAGTTCGCTTGAGTAGTATATGATCTGCTACATAATAAACTCATAGTATGTATAATTGAATAGATGGATATAGAAGTGACGTCACTTCAGATATAGAAGTGACGTCACTTCATGTCATTACGATTGTGTGACGAGGCGAAGAACGCATTGTATGTTACTTTGAAATGTAGGTTTATATAATTTTGTGTACATTCTGTGTAACTAATAAATTTGCAGAGTTTGTGGCAATAGAATACATACCAGTGCATTGCAGGGTTGAGCGACTGAACGAAGTGGGGGTCGCCACAAGAGTAGCAAATCTTAAACGCCGTATCGGTGACAGAAACCTGGCGGAAGTTGTATTATTAGTTATGGCGTCTTTAGTTGCCGTACACAGTGTCATATTAGGTTATCAGAAAGATATTGGGCGAGGCGTATATACGTTCACATTTAGTGCATTCTATGTTCCATTGTCAACGTCTGTGTTTACATTTAAGCGTTGTATCGGAAACATATGTACTGGTCCTGTCATTTCTACCGGTTGTAAGTGTCAAGTCTTCATGTTGACATGACATGCGCGGTAAAGATACCAGATCGTGTAACCTGTTCGGCATAATACATTCGTTATGGTGTCCTGAGTTGCCGTGCACGGTGTCATATTATAAGTGTATAAGTAAAACTGTGTGGTATGAGAACATCTTCCTGAAACCGTCCTGGATATATATATGTACGACTCAAGAGAAGATCAAGGACGCCGGAATTGTTCCTATGGCGACAGCTGCCCTGCCAGTGCTGGTGCGTATGGCAACACAAAGACTTCCACTTTTGGAGATCTTTAACTTGTTTTGAGACAGACACATTAGCAGGTGCATGTGAAAATGCTAGTCAGTATATTGGAGTCTATCTGTATGAGGAGGTAATTGCAAACACGAGCATGGCTATCATACTGACAAACACTCCGGGTCATTATGTCGTGGTAATAACGGTTTGTGAACTCAACATTCAGTAATAGTCCATCAATATGGCGGCGGCATGCATATAATCGAGGCAGGGCCAGACAAACCAAAGCTTCCTGGGGACTTCTTCTAACCCGGTGTAGTAATCGTTGTGTTTGTTTGTTTGTTTGTTTGTTGCTAGCACCGCACTCAACAATATTCCAGCTATATGACGGTGGTCTGTAAATAATCGAGTCTGGAACAATTCGTCACATCGGGAGTTGACAGTTCATCTTGTCGTTGGTTGGCAGTTTGTTATATCAGGAGTTGACATTTCGTCATATTAGTAGTTGACAGTTCGTCATGCATATGAGGAGCACCCATTTTGTAACACAAGGAGTTGATAGTGATTTCGGGAGTTGATAGTTCATCATATCTGCAGTTGACAGTTGGTCATACAATTAGCTGACAGTTTGTCATACAATGAGTTGATAGTTAGTCATACACTTAGCTGACAGTTCGTCATACAATGAGTTGATAGTTAGTCATACACTTAGCTGACAGTTCGTCATACAATGAGTTGATAGTTCGTGATTTCGGAAGTTGATGGTTCGTCATATCAGCAGTTCACAGTTCATCACATCAGTAGTTGATAGTTGGTCATCTCAGTAGTTGATAGTTCGTAATCTCATGAGTTTACAGTTCTTCACATCAGTAGTCGATGGTTCGTCATATCAGCAGTGCACAGTTCGTTACATCAGTAGTTGATAGTTCGTCATCTCAGGAGTTGACAGTTCGTCACATCAGTAGTTGACAGTTCGTCATATATCGGGAGATGACTACAAACGGTATACAACAAACCTGTATTGGTGGCACTGTCACGTTCGTCCACAAGTCAAGGCCTGAGAGTAAATCCGTTATTGTCACAAATGACAAGGTTGTCTGTGAATTCGCCTTAATGGCGGGGTCGAGCTTTGCAGCTAATTCTAGTGGCAGCCTCGCCTCGTGGGTGCTAGGGTTCCAATCGGTGGGGGTGAAGGTCAGGTCACATCCACCCACCGTAAACAGATCTGTACGGAGGAGGCATACAGTACTGCATTTCATAGTATAAGCTCGGATATGAAATGTATTTTTGAAATAAAAAACAGTACATATAAACCAAAGTATGAAAAGGGCGTATACGCGTATTTGTGTAGCCCTTGAACGCGGGCATTTGCGAATAACAAGATTTGTTTGCTTGTTATTTAACGCCGTACTCGACCACCTTAATCACACGGAATTAATGTCTGAATTGACACTGGTCACTGGTTTGTTTTTTGGTTGTTTGTTTGTTGTTTAACGCCGCACAGCAATATTCCAACTATATGACGGCGGTCTGTAAATAATCCAATCTGTACCAGACAATCCAGTGACTGACATTATGAGAAGAGGTCCACGCAATTGGGATATGATGACATGCATTATCCCGTTAGTCGCCCCTCACGACAAGCATGGTTTGCTACCCGGATCTTCACGAGTAGTATAATTAGAGCACGTGTACTAAGACAAGATTTCCTCTATTTTCAATTTGGTTTACGGATTTTCTGAAACACAAAATTGTCATGATCATTTATGATGTATGTTCAACTATATCGTGTCAAAGTTCAGTAATGCTTTGGGGATACATGGCAACAAGCCAAGAAAGTGTTCATCATTTTCACGAAGTAACATCCACCTGTGTTTGATTAACAGGGATTTATCTAGCGTTTATAACTAAGTAGGCAGGCATATTGGGAAAAATAGTTTTAGCCAAATCCAATATGGCCGCCATCCAGGAATGACATTCTAGTACATGAAGTATAAACAGGGCCCGCAACCTAAACATATTAGGAAAAATGAACATTTTGGAATGTATTTATCAAACACTACATTTGGTCAGTAAATAACTATAGTTTAGTAGACTATTTGTTTTGATTTAGGTAATCTAAATTGTGAAAAAAATGAGCATTTCTCATATGGTCACTAACAGAACATTTATTAACAAAATGTGTATTTATTGAAATATGCTTGTACGTTGCTAATGTTTGTTTGGCTAGTGACAATATAATTTGATCACGTTTGCAAAGTGGTGACCTGAATAAATGTGCCACAACACAGTTACACCCGACTCCTCTCCGCCTACTCTAACAACTACATCCCAGAAGCTCGTGCCATGACTTAGAACCTTGTGGCAGTGTAGTCCACACAGGCTCATAGCCATGTGCTACTGATATTACCCATCCTCCCTCAGTTGGTGTGGGAAGTGTTGGTCCGGCCTCCAGGCCTCGTCCCCGACAGTGGCCAGGTCTTTTGACATGTTGGTACAAAGCAGCTGATGTGGGAGGAATGGAATCAATTGTTCTACCTTTCTTTGTGAAAAAAGTCTTTGCGTGCCTTCTTGGCGCCCGTAATATTCTGTCCCGACTATTCATTAAGACCCCAAACCGCTGAATGACTGGCATCAGGTTCTTCTCATCCTGTTCGGTTGCAACATCATCAATGAGATTTGCAAATGTGGTGGCGACTGCTATCACATTTAATTGTCCCTTGCCAACCAATACTAAATTTCATTCCTCCATGGCTGCCATATTAATTTTTGTTTTGTGTGGCCCCATATCGGAAACTATTTGGAATGTCATTACCTACAACTGTGCCAAGTTTCATGCTCAGCACAAAGTTCACAATTGACCTAATGTCTTGAACCGTACGGCTGCACTTTTAGCACATTTGCATATTATACAGTTCCAGATATGATCGCTCAGTCCAGATTAGCTGTCCTTATCAGCACCTGTCTCTCTCTCTGACATGCTCTTAACCCCGATGAACGATAACATTACCTCCCGACACCTGTTGTACAACTGAGTCTAGCCAGTGACCGACCCGGGAGTATCAGGGTCAGAATAGGCCTTCAACAACCCATGTGACTAGGCTTGCCGTAAGAGGCGACCAACGGGATCAGGTGGTCATCGTATCCCAATTGCGTGGATCGATGCTCATGATGTGGATCATTGGATTATCTGGTCCAGACTCGGTTATTTACAGACCACCGTCATATAGCTGAAATATTGCTGTGCGGCGTAAAACAACAAACAAACAACCACAAACAAACCGGTGACCAGTGTTAATTCAGACATTAATTCCGTGTAATTAAGGTGGTCGTAAATACTGGATTGAACAGTAAAGGTTACATTCGCAGACAAAGTATGGGGGTCTTGAATGACCTAAATGAAAGTGAGTCTAGCCCGTCTTTAGCTGACGTACTTGGTGAGATGACGTGGACCTTCAGGCCGCAGGGGGTCTGTGTTCCCGACACGTGACACTCAATGGGCAGGGTGGAGATGACCTCGACCTTCGTGTCAGTTCCTTCTACAATGTGCAAAGGTTGAGGCTCGACCTAGAATAAGAAGCAAGTTGTCTGAATGGCTAAATGAGGATGAGAAAATGTTGATTAACGCCGCTCTCACCAATATTCTAGTACATTTTCAGGCCTGAGTGTGGCTTCTCGGACAATGTATATGGTGGAAGTCTTTACATTATATAATAATCTACATGCTAGACTTAATGTGGTTAATGCCTGTTTCTATGTACTCAAAATGTAATAACGCTCTCGCACGATACTGCTTATGTTCTGGTCCAAAATAACCCACAGGTTGACCCCAGATAAAGTCTATACTTGTAGATCATGATATCGAGTCAACAAAGATATATTGTCGTGAATGAGATGTTCGGGTTGGCGAGATACCACTGCATTCAGAACACACAAAATAAACCCGAAGATTGAGGATATGATGGACGGTTGGAGCTCGAGGCGTCAAGGGGCCAACCATTTGATAATCTCGCTGTGTCTGTGTGCGTATTTTTTAATTGTATTGGACAAATTATCTTTTTCGATAAAATCCCAGCAAATGTTCGGTCCCTAATGAGCACGTATAGAAATACCTTGATGCCGCCGTAGTAGCTGTTGCTGGTGTAGACGGGGCTGGTGTTGTTCTGAGAGTTGGTGTAGGAGGTCTGTACGCTACAGGTCAGCTGAAAGCGGACGCCATGAATTATGTACGTTACACGTTGAGTGAGTGTCTTGGTTTTACCACCTCTGTGTACTGTTATATCTGTCAAATCACGGCGCGGCAGCTTAATGTGGGAAGAAAGCCAGAAGTGATGCAGGTCTCAGACGTTTACCACTTCGGTGAAACCCACGAGTATTGATTCGGTGCTGACAAACCTAGAATCATATTCTAGTCTGTGATTCGAATCCAAGATTGTAGGTTTCTGACACGACTAAGGGACGCAACTCTGCACAGCGGCCATGCATGAGCTCCTGAAAAGATAAACCGATAGCCGGAGTAGCATATGTAACGAGATACGTTGTAAGACCTTCGCTTCGAGATACCCAGACCGATATATGTGAGGTGAGGTGAGGTGAGGTGAAATGGGGTTCAACGTCGCGTTCATGGTCGCACTTATAAAGCGACGTGCGTGCTTGTACTAGTCAGGACTAATGCCGATTTTATAATGCTAGCCCACTGAGATACCATGTCGCAGTTTAAAATGAATACCCCATTCAGACACAGTATACTGACTCCAAGCCGACCAGTCCTTGTTTAGCTCCTTATGCCGAGCGCCAGGCAGGGTAACAACAAGTACCATGTTTAACGTATTTTGGTATGACGCGTCCGGGGTCGAACCCACGACCTACCGCTCTCCGGGAAGACGCTCTCCGGGGGCGGTCCCGATATGTGTAGACTGGATGACGTGGTGCTACGTTAAATGGTTCAAATCATTTCCATATTGTGACGTGAGCTTGTGTGTCTTTATTGACCAGTTGTCCGCGGTGACATTACACCCGTCACCCTATAACTGCTACGGCGGATACGACTTATTAGCGGAGTCAGTTTGACCAAGTCGTAGATGGTGGCCGGATGTTAAAATAGTTCATTAACAGAGATCACAAGATCGGAAAGGAAGACATTCTTCGTAACAGTCTCCATGCTGACCTTGTGATTAATATGTCCCTTCCACTGACTCAGGGTAAAGTACGCCGTTCTCTCATCCCCAGTCAACGTCGTGCTACCCACGGGGAGTCCGTCCATAGACCACGTGACGTGGAACAGAGCGTCCGGGGACACGTCAGGTGACGTGAAGCTGCACGCTTGTCTGTACCCGCTGCCCTGGGAGAGTTCAGGGCCGGACAAGGTCACGTTGTCCGCGACTTTCGGGTAAGGGGCTGAAGTAAATATGGAGGTCACAACAGAACATATATGTTACTAGGTAGGATAATCAGATTCAGATTGGAGCTAATCGAAATTAGTGAGATTCCCCAGCAGTGATTTACGTTTAAAGCTGATGGAGACATTGACTCAGGCGTAAACGCGGATTTACACAGTGTGCACCCGTTTTTAAACGTATACACCGCTATAAACGCAATACATTTTCTTCATTGAATTTCAAAAACATTCGCGGGACTTCTTAATTATGTAGACATTTGTCCCTGTGTTATCCCCGTCTTCAGCACGACCATACATTACCTCTGCAGGGTTCGAACCCAGACGGAGACACTTGGCCAGCCGGACAGGGTATTTCTGTAATCAGATTCAGGAAATACAAGATTGGTTGAGCATTTCCAGAATTCTAATAGATGAAACTAATAAATGAAGGTTCACGCCTGTCACAACGAGGTCAAGGTGAGACCACTTGCAGATAGCGCGACGTCGCTTTTTGCCGTCAGCGTATTTTGAGACACTGGCACAAAACAGACAACATCTGAGCTTGGACAAGTGGCATCAACGCACACACTGGGGCCTCCGAGTATCCATGTTGCCACCTTCATCCCGCGCGGGGGTTGGGGGGGGGGGGGGGGGGGGGGGGTAGGGGGTAGGGGGTAGCCTAGTGGTAGCCCACAGAAGGTATATATATGGTGGCTTCACAACATATCATGCATGTATCCCCCTCATCACTTGGTTGGTCTCACTCCAGCTTGATAACGGTGTAAGAATCTTCATTGAAACGTCGCTACATCCAAAGAAAACAGAAGTTGATATCCATAAAGTTGTACGTTTTTCTTATTTAATGTGATAAGACAATTATTCGGTGATCATTGTTTGAAATTTGTCATCGTTGGTTGGACAAGCATGACTGTAGAGATCCAGCTTCAGTGGTCCAGTGCTTTCTGATGTGCATTCGCATGTAAAGAGACGATCTAAACCACTAAATGACACGACCTCAATTCACTTTAGGTCTGGTAAGCTACAAGTTAGATCTGGTTAGCTACAAGTTAGATCTGGTTAGCTACAAATTAGGTCTGGTAAGCTACAAATTAGTTATGGTTAGCTACAAGTTAAATCTGGTTAGCTACAAGTTAGCTACAAGTTAGATCTGGTTAGCTACAAGTTAGATCTGGTTAGCTACAAGTTAGATCTGGTAAGCTACAAATTAGATCTGGTTAGCTACAAGTTAGATCTGGTTAGCTACAAATTAGATCTGGTTAGCTACAAGTTAGATCTGGTTAGCTACAAGTAAGATCTGGTAAGCTACAAGTTAGATCTGGTTAGCTACAAGTTAGATCTGGTTAGCTACAAGTTAGATCTGTAAGGTTGTATATGTGGCCTGAATTACGAAATAAACTTGATTGATTTACGTGAAACAAACGCTCGAGATTTTATGAGAACTTAAATGAATACTTGCTTGTGCATGGCGTGAATCCAGTCGGGGACACCTGCCATGTTGGACATGGTTTGATGGAAGAATCTGGAACACACAACACCTAAACGTTGTAGGATACGGGAAGCACAGTTGGCCCAGTCTTCTGTCATACAGAGTTGCGTCCCTTAGCCGAGCCAGCATCAACTAATCATGAGTTCGAATCCCAGATTCGCACTCTAACCCTCAAGGACACAGGGAGCATGGGTTGTCCAGTGGTCTATGTAAGACAGAGTTGTATCCCTTAGTAAAAACAGGGTTGGTTGTTTGTTTGTTTGTTGTTTAACCCCGCACTCGGCTATATTCGAGGCTTTTGAATAATCGAGTCTGGACCACACAATCCAGTGACTGACATCATGAGCATCGAACAGCGCAACTGGGAGACGATGACATGCACCAACCAGGTCAGCCAGCCTGACCACCCGATCCCGTTAGTCGTCTCTTACGACAGGCATGGGTTGCTGAATACCAGCTATAACCCTACATACAAGATGGATGTGTTTTTGCTCTCATAACTTTTCTATAATGTGTCAATTGAATGTATGTTTCACCTACCTGGTTTTAATGCCAACCTGGTTTCAATGCCATATCTTCTAATGTACAAGAGGTGGCATTATAACAAGGTTGTACTGTATATTGATAGTGTATGCATGGGACAAACCAACTACATTGAAATAGCTGATGCTTCAGCCCACCTGACATAATGGTGTGATTAGGATCATGCCAGAATTATTAATTTACATTGTGCACAGCCATGTCAGAATTCAAATTCGAGGCTTTTTATATATTAATGACACACTATTATCTACAATTATATTTCCAGAGTAACGGAACATGCAATGCATTTAACTTTTCCTTTCTTTTTATGTGTTTTACAACTTTGATCAGCTATTTTATTACGAAAATCATGATACCACGGGAAACGTAGACGGTGTAGTTTTGAAAAAAATAAATGTTTGATGTTTAACGCTGTATGACGGCGGCCCGTAAATAATCGAGTCTCGATCAGACAATCCAATGGTCGATATTGTGAGCATCGATCCTCGCCGTCGAGTATGATGACAAGCAATCGACCAAGCCATTGAGCCTAACCACCCGATTCATTAGGTCGCCTCTTACGTTTGTTTGTTTGTTTATTTGTTGTTAAACGCCGCACTCAGCAATATTCCAGCTATATGACGGCGGTCTGTAAATAATCGAGCCTGGCCCAGACAATCCAGTGATTGACATCATGAGCATCGATTCAGCGAGCCTGACCAGTCGATCCCGTTAGTCGCCTCTTACGACAAGCATAGTCGCCTTTTACGGCAGGCATCGGTTGCTGAAGACCTATTCTACCCAAGATCTTCACGGAACTATTCTAACCCAGATTCCTCAAGGGAGGTTCGTAAATTACCGCTACAGACAACCATGGGGCACATGATGGTCTTGAGGGGGAACTGATACACCAGGTAAGTTCCGCAGTTCTTCACAGGGACTTGTTCCGACCACAGGCATCCTGTTGGCGAGAGACCAAGATGGTTGAAGCAGAACTTCCGGTCGACGGAAGGCCCGACTGGCGGGATTTTGTCATCCATCCAGACTGTTGACTCGGCCCCGCAGTGGAACTTGTCGACCTTGGCCATGGCGATCTCGGCACCGGTGAACCTGTACCAGCCTGGGATCAGCGACTTGTCACACAGTGATGACTGGGACGGGTTGGTGACCACACCCTTCTCCCTGCTACTTCCATCCAACGACATGTAGGAAAGGCAAGGGTCGGGGGCGTCGTTTGCGCTTGACCCTGGAAGAAGCACATACATGTTTGTTCTGTTATTTTCTAAAATTATATACCTTTTTCAAATTGGCAATCTTGTTCCTAAGACCCCTTGTTGCATTGATTAAATTCCATATCCAGGAAAGGTGAATGAGTGGTTATAGTTTAATCCAGGAAAACGATATGGGGCAAGAATTATTATTTGTTAGTTGTAAATATGTTTTACCATTGGAATTGAATTAGGAAAATTAGTATTAATAACTTAAATTACTTTGCTGAGATATAGAGTGTCATCTAGAAAGGAAGTGTCCAAGCAATGTTTGTCTATTATTTAACACCACACGCACACGCACATACACACGCGCGCGCACGCGCGCACACACACACACACACACACACAACCACATTCGACCTTCACACACATGACTGTAAATCGGTAAGGTTGGTAAGAACGTATTGTTGCTGAAAACGTGGCAATACTGAGAGTGAAGTGAGTGAGTGAATCCTGTTTCTTCCGTCCTTCGAGTAGATGTTGTTTTACGCCGCAGTCGGCTATAGTCCTGCTTGATTCCGGCAACTTGATGCCCCCGGGGCACGATGACACGATATAACCGCGATGTCCCAGATTAGATGTGTCTTAAAATATCTTAAATCTGTTATATTTGTTCTCTTTTCTCAAACACCAGGCCGCTAAAGTGAACCTTAAGGTGAACGCAGAGTGTCTGGTGTAAGAATAATAAGAGTTTCAAAAGGTCCAGATGAAACATAAACTGACAAGACATTGGACTCACACGACCGGGTTGTGGATCATATATGTAGAACACACACACGCACGACTCACACACGTAGAACGCACACAGGGAGAACACACACATGAAGGCCACACACGTAGAACGCACACAGGGAGAACACACACATGAGGGCCACACACGTAGAACGCACATAGGTAGAACACACACATGAAGGCCACACACGTAGAACGCACACAGGGAGAACACACACATGAAGGCCAAACACGTAGAACGCACACAGGGAGAACACACACATGAAGGCCACACACGTAGAACGCACACAGGGAGAATGCACACATGAAGGCCACACACGTAGAACGCACACAGGGAGAACACACACATGAAGGCCACACACGTAGAACGCACACAGGGAGGACACACACATGAAGGCCACTTACGTAGAACGCACACAGGGAGAATGCACACATGAAGGCCACACACGTAGAACGCACACAGGGAGAACACACACATGAAGGCCACACACGTAGAACGCACACAGGGAGGACACACACATGAAGGACACACACGTAGAACGCACACAGGGAGAACACACATATAAGGTCACACACGTAGAACGCACACAGGGAGAACACACACGTAGAACGCACACAGGGAGAATGCACACATGAAGGCCACACACGTAGAACGCACACAGGGAGGACACACACGTAGAACGCACACAGGGAGAACACACACATGAAGGCCACACACGTAGAACGCACACAGGGAGGACACACACATGAAGGAAACACACGTAGAACGCACACAGGGAGAACACACATATAAGGTCACACACGTAGAACGCACACAGGGAGGACACACACATGAAGGCCACACACGTAGAACGCACACTGGGAGAACACACACATGAAGGCCACACACGTAGAACGCACACAGGGAGGACACACACGTAGAATGCACACAAGGAGAACACACACATGAAGGCCACACACGTAGAATGCACACAGGGAGGACACACACGTAGAATGCACACAGGGAGAACACACACCTGAAGGCCACACACGTAGAACGCACACAGGGAGGACACACACGTAGAACGCACACAGGGAGAACACACACATGAAGGCCACACACGTAGAACGCACACAGGGAGGACACACACATGAAGGACACACACGTAGAACGCACACAGGGAGAACACACATATAAGGTCACACACGTAGAACGCACACAGGGAGGACACACACATGAAGGCCACACACGTAGAACGCACACTGGGAGAAAACACACATGAAGGCCACACACGTAGAACGCACACAGGGAGGACACACACGTAGAATGCACACAGGGAGAACACACACATGAAGGCCACACACGTAGAATGCACACAGGGAGGACACACACATAGAATGCACACAGGGAGAACACACACATGAGGGCCACACACGTAGAACGCACACAGGGAGGACACACACGTAGAACGCACACAGGGAGAACACACACATGAAGGCCACACACGTAGAACGCACACAGGGAGGACACACACGTAGAATGCACACAAGGAGAACACACACATGAAGGCCACACACGTAGAACGCACAAAGGGAGGACACACACGTAGAACGCACACTGGGAGAACACACACATGAAGGCCACACACGTAGAACGCACACAGGGAGAACACACATATAAGGTCACACACAAAGAACGCACACAGGGAGGACACACACATGAAGGCCACACACGTAGAACACACACATGAAGGCCACACACGTAGAACGCATACAAGGAGAACACACACATGAAGGCCACACACGTAGAACGCACACAGGGAGAATGCACACATGAAGGCCACACACGTAGAACGCACACAGGGAGAACACACACATGAAGGCGACACACGTAGAACGCACACAGGGAGGACACACACATGAAGGACACACACGTAGAACGCACACAGGGAGAACACACATATAAGGTCACACACGTAGAACGCACACAGGGAGGACACACACATGAAGGCCACACACGTAGAACGCACACTGGGAGAACACACACATGAAGGCCACACACGTAGAACGCACACAGGGAGGACACACACGTAGAATGCACACAGGGAGAACACACACATGAAGGCCACACACGTAGAATGCACACAGGGAGGCCACACACGTAGAATGCACACAGGGAGAACACACACATGAGGGCCACACACGTAGAACGCACACAGGGAGGACACACACGTAGAACGCACACAGGGAGAACACACACATGAAGGCCACACACGTAGAACGCACACAGGGAGGACACACACGTAGAATGCACACAAGGAGAACACACACATGAAGGCCACACACGTAGAACGCACAAAGGGAGGACACACACGTAGAACGCACACTGGGAGAACACACACATGAAGGCCACACACATAGAACGCACACAGGGAGAACACACATATAAGGTCACACACAAAGAACGCACACAGGGAGGACACACACATGAAGGCCACACACGTAGAACACACACATGAAGGCCACACACGTAGAACGCATACAAGGAGAACACACACATGAAGGCCACACACGTAGAACGCACACAGGGAGAATGCACACATGAAGGCCACACACGTAGAACGCACACAGGGAGAACACACACATGAAGGCCACACACGTAGAACGCACACAGGGAGGACACACACATGAAGGACACACACGTAGAACGCACACAGGGAGAACACACATATAAGGTCACACACGTACAACGCACACAGGGAGGACACACACATGAAGGCCACACACGTAGAACGCACACTGGGAGAACACACACATGAAGGCCACACACGTAGAACGCACGCAGGGAGAACACACATATAAGGTCACACACATAGAACGCACACAGGGAGGACACACACATGAAGGCCACACACGTAGAACACACACATGAAGGCCACACACGTAGAATGCACACAGGGAGGACACACACATGAAGGCCACACACGTAGAACGCACACAGAGAGAACACACACATGAAGGCCACACACGTAGAACGCACACAGGGAGAACACACACATGAAGGCCACACACGTAGAACGCACACAGGGAGAACACACACATGAAGGCCACACATGTAGAACGCACACAGGGAGAGGACACACACATGAAGGCCACACACGTAGAACGCACACAGGGAGAACACACACATGAAGGCCACACACGTAGAACGCACACAGGGAGGACACACACGTAGATCGCACACAGGGAGGACACACACGTAGAATGCACACAGGGAGAACACACACATGAAGGCCACACACAAAGAACGCACACAGGGAGGACACACACGTAGAATGCACACAGGGAGAACACACACATGAAGGCCACACACGTAGAACGCACACAGGGAGGACACACACGTAGAACGCACACAGGGAGAACACACACATGAAGGCCACACACGTAGAACGCACACAGGGAGGACACACACGTAGAATGCACACAAGGAGAACACACACATGAAGGCCACACACGTAGAACGCACACAGGGAGGACACACACGTAGAACGCACACTGGGAGAACACACATATAAGGTCACACACATAGAACGCACACAGGGAGGAAACACACATGAAGGCCACACACGTAGAACACACACATGAAGGCCACACACGTAGAACGCACACAGGGAGGACACACACATGAAGGCCACACACGTAGAACGCACACAGGGAGAACACACACATGAAGGCCACACACGTAGAACGCACACAGGGAGAACACACACATGAAGGCCACACACGTAGAACGCACCCAGGGAGGACACACACATGAAGGCCACACACGTAGAACGCACACAGGGAGAACACACACATGAAGGCCACACACGTAGAACGCACACAGGGAGAACACACATATGAAGGCCACACATGTAGAACGCACACAGGGAGGACACACACATGAAGGCCACACACGTAGAACGCACACAGGGAGGACACACACATGAAGGCCACACACGTAGAACGCACACAGGGAGGACACACACGTAGAATGCACAGAGGGAGAGCACACACATGAAGGCCACACACGTAGAACGCACACAGGGAGGACACACACGTAGAATGCACACAGGGAGAACACACACATGAAGGCCACACACGTAGAACGCATACAAGGAGAACACACACATGAAGGCCACACACGTAGAACGCACACAGGGAGGACACACACGTAGAACGCACACAGGGAGAACACACACATGAAGGCCACACACGTAGAACGCACACAGGGAGGACACACACGTAGAATGCACACAGGGAGAACACACACATGAAGGCCACACACGTAGAACGCACACAGGGAGGACACACACGTAGAACGCACACAGGGAGAACACACACATGAAGGCCACACACGTAGAACGCACACAGGGAGGACACACACGTAGAACGCACACAGGGAGAACACACACATGAATGCCACACACGTAGAACGCACACAGGGAGGACACACACGTAGAATGCACACAAGGAGAACACACACATGAAGGCCACACACGTAGAACGCACACATGGAGGACACACACGTAGAACGCACACAGGGAGAACACAAACATGAAGGCCACACACGTAGAACGCACACAAGGAGAACACACACGAAGGCCACACACGTAGAATGCACACAGAGAGAACACACACATGAAGGCCACACACGTAGAACGCACACAGGGGGAACACACACATGAAGGTCACACACGTAGAACGCACACAGGGAGGACACACACATGAAGGCCACACACGTAGAATGCACACAGGGAGAACACACACATGAAGGCCACACACGTAGAACGCACACAGGGAGAACACACACATGAAGGCCACACACGTAGAACGCACACAGGGAGGACACACACACGAAGGCCACACACGTAGAATGCACTCAGGGAGAACACACACATGAAGGCCACACACGTAGAATGCACACAGGGAGAACACACACATGAAGGGCAAACACGTAGAATGCACACAGGGAGGACACACACGTGAATGCACACAGGGAGGACACACACATGAAGGCCACACACGTAGAACGCACACAGGGAGAACACACACATGAAGGCCACACACGTAGAACGCACACAGGGAGAACACACACATGAAGGCCACACACGTAGAACGCACACAAGGAGAACACACACATGAAGGCCACACAAGAAGAACGCACACAGAGAGAACACACACATGAAGGCCACACACGTAGAACGCACACAGGGAGAACACACACATGAAGGCTACACAGGGAGAACACACACATGAAGGCCACACACGTAGAACGCACACAGGGAGAACACACACATGAAGGCCACACACGTAGAACGCACACAGGGAGAACACACACATGAAGGCCAGACACGTAGAACGCACACAGGGAGGACACACACGTAGAACGCACACAAGGTGAACACACACATGAAGGCCACACACGTAGAACGCACACATGGAGGACACACACGTAGAACGCACACAGGGAGAACACACACATGAAGGCCACACACGTAGAACGCACACAAGGAGAACACACACGAAGGCCACACACGTAGAATGCACACAGAGAGAACACACACATGAAGGCCACACACGTAGAATGCACACAGGGGGAACACACACATGAAGGTCACACACGTAGAATGCACACAGGGAGGACACACACATGAAGGCCACAGACGTAGAATGCACACAGGGAGAACACACACATGAAGGCCACACACGTAGAACGCACACAGGGAGAACACACACATGAAGGCCACACACGTAGAACGCACACAGGGAGGACACACACACGAAGGCCACACACGTAGAATGCACTCAGGGAGAACACACACATGAAGGCCACACACGTAGAATGCACACAGGGAGAACACACACATGAAGGGCAAACACGTAGAATGCACACAGGGAGGACACACACGTGAATGCACACAGGGAGGACACACACATGAAGGCCACACACGTAGAACGCACACAGGGAGAACACACACATGAAGGCCAGACACGTAGAACGCACACAGGGAGAACACACACATGAAGGCCACACACGTAGAACGCACACAGGGAGAACACACACATGAAGGCCACACACGTAGAACGCACACGGGGAGAACACACACATGAAGGCCACACACGCGATGACCAGGAACTCACGTGTGATGGCCCCGTGCAGCCCTTTTCCTACAACAAGCAACGAGTAACATGTCACCTGGCCCGTCTTCACGAATATAGTTTCATTCCCACTTCAACCATAGCAGGACCGCCTCCATGGTCTAGTGGTAGAGCGTCCGCCCGGAGAGCGGAAGGTCCGGGGTTCGAACCCGGCCGCGTCATACCAAAAGACGTTAAAAGATGGTACTTGTTGTTACCCTGTCTGGCGCTCGGCATTTAGGGGTTTAAGCAAGGACTGGTCGGCTCGGAGTCAGTATACTGCGTCTGAGTGGGGTATTCATGTTAAACTGCGGCATGGTATCTAAGTGGGCTAGCACTATAAATCGGCATCAGTCCGGTCTAGTACAAGCAGCCACACACACACACACGTGCATGCAGGTAGCTATATAAGTGCAACAATCTTGGACGCGACGTTAAACCCAATTTCACCTGACTTCAACCATAGAAGGCCTGTGTTGCGTGCACAAAGAGCGACTGTATTACGTATGACGTAAGCAGTTCAAGAGTTCTGTGTTCCTTGGAGCGATCGTGACATCACCTGTGGCTGACTCATACCGCGAGAACTTATATTGTTTTACGCAGTACTAACCGCTGTTCCAGCTGTTTAACCTGGATTTGCTGATTGCGGCTTAAAACGACATTAATGCACAAAGCAATCCATGCCTGACTTTTAATCCTTGACATCTTGTCAAACAGAACGCACAGACATCTGCACTATTTCGCAACATTACTGAAACTGAGCTACTTGTAGAGGTGTTTAGCTGATGCAAAAAAAATACAACATGCTCAAATTTTCCCTAAGTTTCCATATAACCTACCTGCAATCAAGAGGACCCACAAAACACCTACTGCCCGTGTCATCTCAACCGTGTTTAATGTCTGGCTCAACGCGTGCCACGCTCAACTGATAAGAACGGAAAACGGACAAGGAAAATGTGATAAGATTTAAATTGGGTACATGTTTAGTTCAAAGAACTGCCATATTTTACACATCTCTACCAACAGGAAGATCGACGCCGGGTTAAGGTGGCCGGGTAGGACACGTGGCACGTGATAGTTCGTGTAGCTCGTGCATCTGTCACATGATTGTCCCAACAACACACTTATGTGTCAACAACGCATATATGAAATCCTCCCTGGCTTAAAACACACGGGAGAAATTAGAAGTGTGAGTGTAAGTTAAAAAGTCCTCAGTTTGACTTGGACTTAACAAAAATATGTATAAAATATTTTTATCAAAAGAAAATTGTTCAGTCGACACGCCGGATGCCGGAACAAAAAAGTTGCAAAAAATAGAAAAGAAATGTTCAACCAAGTCAACTGACGCCCGGTCCATCTAAGTGCCTCCTTTAGGCGAAGAGCAACTGTATAAACTCTCAGCCTTGAAGTAGAACGAGTGATTATTTTATAACCCTGCAGCCTTGAATGTTTGGAACGAGGGGCATTTTGATAACATTTCAGCACTGAATTAAAACTGTGCACATGTGCAATACTCCAGCTATATGGTCTGTAAATAATCGAGATTGGACCAGACAATCCAGTGATTCACATCATGAGCATCGATCCACGCAATTGGGATATGATGACATGCATCAACCAAGTCAGCGAGCCAGACCACCCGATCCCGTTAGTCTCCTCTTACCACAAGCATAATCACCTTCTACGATAAGCATAGGTTACTGAAGACCTATTCTAACCCGGATCTTGGTTGATGTATGTCTTTGTATCGTATGTCAATCACTGGATTGTCTGGTCCAAACTCAATTATTTACTGACTGCCGTCTAATAGCTGGAATTTTGCTAAATGCAATATTGTTAAACTATAAACAAACAAACATCCTCCTATCTATTCAGTCGATTCTGTTGACATGGCGATATCAGCCCAAGGGTGTGCACTGAACATGCCATAGTGAGAACTGAATAATGCTGCAGGCAGCAATATTCTCGCAGTGTCACATCAGCCAGGCAAGGCAACATGGTTATGGTGATGATCAGTCAGGCCACACACTCTAACAACTCAGACTTCACCAGCCAGGCCACACACTCTAACAACTCAGACCTCACCAGCCAGGCCACACACTCTAACAACTCAGACCTCACCAGTCAGGCCACACACTCTAACAACTCAGACCTCACCAGTCAGGCCACACTCTCTAACAACTCAGACCTCACCAGCCAGGCCACACACTCTAACAACTCAGACCTCACCAGTCAGGCCACACACTCTAACAACTCAGACCTCACCAGTCAGGCCACACACTCTAACAACTCAGACCTCACCAGCCAGGCCACACACTCTAACAACTCAGACCTCACCAGACAGGCCACACACTCTAACAACTCAGACCTCACCAGTCAGGCCACACACTCTAACAACTCAGACCTCACCAGTCAGGCCACACACTCTAACAACTCAGACTTCACCAGTCACGCCACACACTCTTACAACTCAGACCTCACCAGTCAGGCCACACACTCTAACAACTCACACCTCGTCAGTCAGGCCACACACACTAACAACTCAGACCTCACCAGCCAAGCCACACACACTAACAACTCACACCTCGTCAGTCAGGCCACACACACTAACAACTCAGACCTCACCAGCCAGGCCACACACTCTAACAACTCAGACCTCACCAGCCAGGCCACACACTCTAACAACTCAGACCTCACCAGTCAGGCCACACACTCTAACAACTCAGACCTCACCAGTCAGGCCACACACTCTAACAACTCAGACCTCACTAGTCAGGCCACACACTCTAACAACTCAGACCTCACCAGACAGGCCACACACTCTAACAACTCAGACCTCACCAGTCAGGCCACACACTCTAACAACTCAGACCTCACCAGTCAGGCCACACACTCTAACAACTCAGACTTCACCAGTCACGCCACACACTCTTACAACTCAGACCTCACCAGTCAGGCCACACACTCTAACAACTCACACCTCGTCAGTCAGGCCACACACACTAACAACTCAGACCTCACCAGCCAAGCCACACACACTAACAACTCACACCTCGTCAGTCAGGCCACACACACTAACAACTCAGACCTCACCAGTCAGGCCACACACTCTAACAACTCAGACCTCACCAGCCAGGCCACACACTCTAACAACTCAGACCTCACCAGCCAGGCCACACACTCTAAGAACTCAGACCTCACCAGTCAGGCCACACACTCTAACAACTCACACCTCATCAGTCAGGCCACACTCTCTAACAACTCAGACCTCACCAGTCAGGCCACACTCTCTAACAACTCAGACCTCACCAGTCAGGCCACACACGCTAACAACTCAGACCTCACCAGCCAGGCCACACACTCTAACAACTCAGACCTCACTAGTCAGGCCACACACTCTAACAACTCAGACCTCACCAGACAGGCAACACACTCTAACAACTCAGACCTCACCAGTCAGGCCACACACTCTAACAACTCAGACCTCACCAGTCAGGCCACACACTCTAACAACTCAGACTTCACCAGTCACGCCACACACTCTTACAACTCAGACCTCACCAGTCAGGCCACACACTCTAACAACTCACACCTCGTCAGTCAGGCCACACACACTAACAACTCAGACCTCACCAGCCAAGCCACACACACTAACAACTCACACCTCGTCAGTCAGGCCACACACACTAACAACTCAGACCTCACCAGCCAGGCCACACACTCTAACAACTCAGACCTCACCAGCCAGGCCACACACTCTAACAACTCAGACCTCACCAGTCAGGCCACACACTCTAACAACTCAGACCTCACCAGTCAGGCCACACACTCTAACAACTCAGACCTCACCAGCCAGGCCACACAGTCTAACAACTCAGACCTCACCAGCCAGGCCACACACTCTAAGAACTCAGACCTCACCAGTCAGGCCACACACTCTAACAACTCACACCTCATCAGTCAGGCCACACACTCTAACAACTCAGACCTCACCAGTCAGGGCACACACTCTAATAACTCAGACCTCACCAGCCAGGCCACACACTCTAACAACTCAGACCTCACCAGTCAGGCCACACACTCTAACAACTCAGACCTCACCAGTCAGGCCACACACACTAACAACTCAGACTTCACCAGTCAGGCCACACACTCTAACAACTCAGACCTCACCAGCCAGGCCACACACTCTAACAACTCAGACCTCACCAGCCAGGCCACACACTCTAAGAACTCAGACCTCACCAGCCAGGACACACACTCTAACAACTCAGACCTCACCAGTCAGGCCACACACTCTAAGAACTCAGACCTCACCAGCCAGGACACACACTCTAACAACTCAGACCTCACCAGTCAGGCCACACACACTAACAACTCAGACTTCACCAGTCAGGCCACACACTCTAACAACTCAGACCTCACCAGCCAGGCCACACACTCTAATAACTCATACCTCGTCAGTCAGGCCACACACACTAACAACTCAGACCTCACCAGTCAGGCCCCACACTCTAACAACTCAGACTTTACCAGTCAGGCCACTCACTTTAACAACTCAGACCTCACCAGCCAGGCCACACACTCTAAGAACTCAGACCTCACCAGCCAGGTCACACACTCTAACAACTCAGACCTCACCAGTCACGCCACACACTCTAACAACTCAGACCTCACCAGCCAGGCCACACACTCTAACAACTCAGACCTCACCAGTCAGGCCACACACTCTAACAACTCAGACCTCACCAGCCAGGCCACACACTCTAACAACTCAGACCTCACCAGACAGGCCACACACTCTAACAACTCAGACCTCACCAGTCAGGCCACACACTCTAACAACTCAGACCTCACCAGTCAGGCCACACACTCTAACAACTCAGACTTCACCAGTCACGCCACACACTCTTACAACTCAGACCTCACCAGTCAGGCCACACACTCTAACAACTCACACCTCGTCAGTCAGGCCACACACACTAACAACTCAGACCTCACCAGCCAAGCCACACACACTAACAACTCACACCTCGTCAGTCAGGCCACACACACTAACAACTCAGACCTCACCAGCCAGGCCACACACTCTAACAACTCAGACCTCACCAGCCAGGCCACACACTCTAACAACTCAGGCCTCACCAGTCAGGCCACACACTCTAACAACTCAGACCTCACCAGTCAGGCCACACACTCTAACAACTCAGACCTCACCAGCCAGGCCACACACTCTAACAACTCAGACCTCACCAGCCAGGCCACACACTCTAAGAACTCAGACCTCACCAGTCAGGCCACACACTCTAACAACTCACACCTCATCAGTCAGGCCACACACTCTAACAACTCAGACCTCACCAGTCAGGGCACACACTCTAATAACTCAGACCTCACCAGCCAGGCCACACACTCTAACAACTCAGACCTCACCAGTCAGGCCACACACTCTAACAACTCAGACCTCGCCAGTCAGGCCACACACTCTAACAACTCAGACTTCACCAGTCAGGCCACACACTCTAACAACTCAGACTTCACCAGCCAGGCCACACACTCTAACAACTCAGACCTCACCAGCCAGGCCACACACTCTAAGAACTCAGACCTCACCAGTCAGGCCACACACTCTAACAACTCACACCTCACCAGTCAGGCCACACTCTCTAACAACTCAGACCTCACCAGTCAGGCCACACTCTCTAACAACTCAGACCTCACCAGTCATGCCACACACGCTAACAACTCAGACCTCACCAGCCAGGCCACACACTCTAACAACTCAGACCTCACTAGTCAGGCCACACACTCTAACAACTCAGACCTCACCAGACAGGCCACACACTCTAACAACTCAGACCTCACCAGTCAGGCCACACACTCTAACAACTCAGACCTCACCAGTCAGGCCACACACTCTAACAACTCAGACTTCACCAGTCACGCCACACACTCTTACAA